AGAGACAAAGACTAGATACATGTCCTCCTCGCGATTCTGCTTGTAGTAGTTATAGAAAGAGGAGGCACACATACAGCCGTAGTTCTCCACTAGACTTCTAGCTTTATACTTCTGCAGTCTAACGGTTCTACTGTTTGACAACTTGTGTATCAACACCTTCCTATCCCAATCAAACTGAGGTTGAGCGACCTCGAGGTAGTACATGCCTAGTAGCATATCGAAGGGCAGTTCATCGCTGACAAGGAATGAGATTTTATGTCTCACTTCCCCTCCTTTATAAGAGAAGGAACAGACTACGTCCTTGACATAGTCCTTTATTACCATTTGATGCTTGTTGGCTAGCGTAGAAGCTATAGTTCTGCTAAGCCGCTGCATTTAGTCCCCTAAGCGTGGTCTATCCACATAAGGACGGTTGTTGAAGTTTCGTGTAAAGCCTATGTCTGCGAAGGCGCCCACCTTGCCGCCACCTACATCAACCTCTACCACGAAGTGTTCACCTTTTGGACCTCTACTAATCATCGCCTAAGAGTCTCTGGGGTCATTCCCTGACCACTCAGTTTCTAACGCTTCTAGGGTCTCAGACACATCTCTCGAACAGAGCGTTGGTGGGTCTGAATGTGTCTGTGGGGCGATACGAGGGTCACGACTCACTAGCCCTGGCCAACGCCTGAAGTGGGGAAGGCAACCTTATCACTTCATCGCAAGTAAGAGCGGCTAAAACTCCTACTACCCCGAGTTGCTTCCCTGCGAAGTGCTCGCAGAAGCACTGTCAGGGTTTGATGATAGTCCCACCACCGTTGGTGAGGCTACCCTCGTTAGGATTTTCTTACCTCAACACGTTCTGGACGTGTGGCCGTAGTTGCCACAGTTTATGCACGTACCCCTAGCAACTCGGTCCCTCCACACCTCATACTCTAAAGAGTTTAAACCAAGTTTCATCCAGCGGGCGTACCTTGGTCGCCCTGACTCGTGGACCGTACTACCTTTTTCTTCCCGGTCCCCCTAGCCTTTTCTGTGATGGGCGTCACAACTCCCCCATCCAAAGTCTCGCTAGCCCCATCGTGCTCTGTCTTCCTTCTCAAGGTATGGGAAGTCGTCAATTTCTGTCGCCTGACCATCGTGGTCGACGAACATTAGTTGCCCTTTCTTCTTCCAGTCCTGGGGTAATCTCTTCTTCCTACCATCTCCTTCACTCTGTTGCGTGGACCCCAGTTTTGCCTCTATATCTAAGACCTTCTTGCTGAAGGAGGCGAAGTTGTACTGCTCGAGATAGGCCTCATCCACCAGCTTTGTCCTAACCTCTGAAGGCAGACATCTTAGGAAATCCGTGAGGAGAACCTGCTGGTCATAGCGCACACCAGATACCACGAGCAGACGCTCTACGGTATCCGTGAGCCCTCGAACATTCTTGTATCTTTTGGCACAAATACTGTTGATTGTGTCTGTGGCCTTTTGAGCCCCTTGAGGGTCATGCCACCTGTTATATATGGACCGTACGAATTCTTCCAATCTTTGGGTCTGGGCCCAGGTATCGAAGTTCTGACCGTAGCCCTATTGCTGCACTAAGCCATTCAATCAGCGGGCTGCTGACCCTTTTAAAAAGGAGGCAGCCACTACAACTTCTTGCTCCAGCCTGGTAAGCTTGTGCCTCACATAGGTAGGCACCGTCCTTACCCAAGTATCCATATCCTCATCCTTCTTCCTGTCGCATGAGAAGGGCTTAAGACTCAGCAAGGGTATTTTGGGCATCCACTGCATAGGCTGTATTGGCCCAAGAGATTGCTGCAGTGTCTGCATAGCCACCGAAACAGGTTGCTGCAGACTAACCTGAGCTTGACTTCACAGTGGGACTGTGGTAACCACTGTCGTGGATGGTACGACAGAGACTCTAAGGACCGGACCACTAGTCGCCACATAACCACCTGGAGGGGGCATGCCAAACATAGGTGAGAATGAGGGCCCAACCGGCGGCGACGTCATTGATGGACCCGCAACTGATGGGGGAGCTACAACATACTGAGGCTGCCTCATTATGGGACAAGGAGCCTGCAGTGCAGCCAAAATCTGCTTCTGTCCTGTCACTAGTTCGGCCAGCACTTCCTGCTGGACAACCTGCGCTTCATCCACGCAAAGAAGTGAGTTACGCAGTGCTCGCATCGGAGGGTCAAGTGTTGACTCATCTAATGCTTCTAATCTGCCTAGCTCCTGTTTTCTACTCCCTAGTCTGTTTTTTTCTCAAAATGACTCTTCTTCTTCTCTCTGCTGCCTCATCCAATTGCCGTTGTAGCTCATCCTGAAGTTCTTCTGCTTGGAGGATCTCATAATCCTCCGGCGTGAGTTGAGCCTGTTGGCTGACTTGCAAGCCAACACTCTGGCTAATGGAAGTCTGAGAACCAATCTAACGGACTCCCGACGAAGTGGCATGTGAAGAGGCCTGCGACATGCCAGGGGAGGTAACCATAGTCGTATTAGTACGTCCGGTACTAGCTGTAATTCTAGACCTGGCGCTGACCTCAGTCACCCTCAATCTTTTTGCCACTGTTCTTTCTCTAGCCTCTCTCTGCAGTTTTTTCTCGTCTCTTGGACCTAACTCTAGGAAAGTCAAGGGTCGACTGGGAGCAGTTCTTCGAGTGACCCTAAGATCATCCACTAACAATTCTTCCTCACTACTGATTGCATCACTCATGAGCTACAATGTGTGTGATCTAAACTAGAATCCACACTGAATGCTACCTCAGCATGACACACAACCGTGTATGATATACAACTATCTTCGGTCGGCCTAGACAAAAACGGTTAGGTGATTAGGTGTCAACCAATGTCAGATCCTACAGGGAATATTAAATATATTTTCAGATTACTCTAATACAGATTGCAATGCAGCAAAGAATGTACTATTCTATCTGCAGTTGTCTGTCATTTGTTAGTCAAGTCCGTAACAACTAAATAATCAAAATAAAAATAATGCTCCCTGCAAAGATGTATGCTGAATGGCAGTTTATCTAATTAATGCCACGGCGAACAGTTGTCGGAATCCCCTCTCTCCCTGTATCCTTCTTGAGTTGTTACTTCGTGTCAACGCCTTGAGCATCTGGTTGAGCAGCGTGTCTGAAGGTGTGCAATCTGGCCCACCCCTGTGTCCCAAGTCAACGCCGAACCTGCCAGCCCCTGCACATTATTTATCCTCGCATGCAACGAGCCTTACACTCGGTTTGATCTGGCTGATCAGGAGGCATTTAATGAGATCCCCCATAACTCCTCAGGAATTATTTAACGTCGCAAACAGGACGACGGTCACAGCCAGAATCAACACCGAGTCGGTGTTACCGCGCGTTCATTGAACACGCGTTCCGCGTTCAGTTTATGAACGCAGTGAACGCGCTTTCACTGAACGCCCCTGAACGCGTTTGACGTGTTTGCGCAGGGGGGGCTGAAGGTGCTATGAGGGCTGGGGAGGACCGCAAAGGTGCCTGCGAGGGCACTGTGCCGTCAGGGGAGCATGTGGGCCCCTGGGGTCCAGTTGGGAGGGTCGTCGGGTAAAAAAAAATAAAAAATTCGTCGTCGGCCGGTATAAAGCGGGCGCGGCGTTCACGCGCGGCACAATCATGCAGTGTGCGTCCAACGTTCCCCATCTTCGCTCCGAAGGAGTGAATGCACGCACGCGCGCGCGCCCGCGCGCGCGCGCGAGAGAGAGAGAGAGAGAGAGAGAGAGAGAGAGAGAGAGAGAGAGAGAGAG